GGGGGGGGGGGGGGGGGGGGGTTACAGACCCAAGTTCTTTCACACTATTTGAACAGTTTCACACACAGAAATTAAACATCATAATTTGTAAACTTCTAATTTTTGTCAGTTATGGTTATTTGTTTCTTTTTCCCTTAATTAAGTTCACGAAAGAACCCAAAACAGCTGAGCGTAGACAAACTCCGACAACTAGCATAATTTTCTTTTCATCTTCCTGGCAAGAACCCATGCCAACATTTCTGCCCTACCGTTAACAAAGAGAATGACTTCCAGGTTTCATTTTCCTGGCGTTTCCCGCAAGTGACCGCGAAATTGGCGTCCAGCTTTGGTTGTTATTATTATGAGATTTATTAAGGTAGACGTTTGCCAAAGAAAAGGCGGGAAATTCATCAGTTCGTGTTCTCATTTCCCCCACAACATTCCAAAGGCAGTTCATTCTGAGAAGGGATGAAAGGTGAGGGCTGGTCGGTCAGTGATCTTAACTGACGTCAGTGGTCGAGCAGATATCGTGGGCCAGACTCAGAAAAAATGGTACCGCCCATGTCTAACTCTAACGATGTACGTGAGTGAACGTAGACTTTCAGAAAAATGGAGAAGGGGGGGGGGGGGGGGAATGGGGTGGTTGGGAAAGGATAAATAATTTTATGCCTTTCTAGTAATATGTACCCGAATTGCCCAAAATTTTGTTCAACTCTTTATAAACGACACATTAGTTCAGATAGCTTTAGGCATCGCTCAGTTATTTACAGTCATACCAATAATCCTAAACACTAGAAAATTCATCCTATCATGCATAATTAAACGGTATGCCTATTGCACGGAGCTTTCATTTCTATGCCCCAGTTTGGTTTTCATTTTACACAAATCAATGAAATAATAGCGGAATTATTGTGATATTTGCAGCGCTCAAACAATGGATGGCGTCGGTGGCCTAGTGGTTAGGCTCTCGGACTCGCAACCGTAAGGTGGTGGGTTCGAATCCTGTCAGGGACCCGACGTTGTGTCCTTGGGAAAGGCACTTTGCACAAATTTTCCTCACTTCACCCAGGTGGAAATGGGTACCCAGCTATAGACAGTAAAAGATCTTGTCAGTTTGATCGTGTTTGAGCGCGTGAAATCCGCAGCTTGCACTGTATGCTTCCACGGAAGCTGAGAATGTTTCTGAGTGTTCTCAGAGGGTCTGCTGGGGTAATAATAGTTGTAAAGCGCATAGAGCAAGCTCTTGAGCATGGATATGCGCTATATAAATGCAATTATTATTATTATTATTATTATTATTAAAACGGCCTGCGCAAAAAAATGATAATATGAGGAATTGTTTTCAGCATTCTGAGAGTTATCGTGTTCATTTGTCAAATTATTACCGACTGTAATTACAGTTATTAAGTAACATAATTGTATCACGCTTACTAGGAAGTGGAGATTGTTACAGAATGCCATTAGGTCTGCTGGGGTAATAATATTATAGATTGTAAGGCGCTGAGAGCTTGCTGTTGGGCGGGTATTTGCGTTAGGAATTTGCGCAATACAAGTGCTATTTTATTATTATTATCATTATTATTATTATTATTATTATTATTATTATTACTATTATTATTAATTTTATAATAATAATAATTATTATTATCATTATTAACATTATTCTTATTTTTTATATTATTGATAATACTAATGATATCATCACTATTATTATTATTATTATTATTATTATTATTATTATTATTATTATTATTATTATTATTTGAGACCTGATCAGGTGGATACACGGTTATTGAGACCTGATCAGGTGGATACACGGTTATCGTCGACACCAAAGTTATGTTTACAATTTTTTGCTGAGAAAGTATACTGGTATTACATTTTTCTTGGATGGCTCTCGAGTCAGCCAAACAGACCGCTTTTCTGTTTGTTCAGGTGTTAACATACTTTCTCTCTCTCTCTCGTTCTCTCTCTTTCTCTTTCTCTCTCTCCCTCCCCCCCCCTCTCTCTCTCTCTCTCTCTCTCTCTCCCCCCCTCTCTCCCTCTCTTTCTCCTGTCTGTCACTTACAGGCATGCATATACAAACAAACAATAACAACAACAAAAACAAAAACATAGACACAAACACATTCCAACCACTCACACACACCCACATATACACACACCCACAAACACACACATACACACACACACACACAACACATACTCACTGCCACCAGCCTACCCCTCACATAATATGTTTTTAACGTTTAGCGGATATCCTGTTTCTCTCATGTCTCCAGAAATGCCGCACAAACAGGTATATTATTATGTTGGGTTTTTTTGGGTTTTTTTTTTTTAAAAGAGGGGCGGGGGGAGATTTAACCTCTTCACTGCCATGTGTACGTATGCACTCGCACGTTTTCAACAAAACTAAGTCTGTGTCAATTTTTTAAACTGGTAAGTATCAAGGGAAAGCAAGTTTTGGGGAGGTAGTAATAATAGATACATGCAATAGATAACATTAATTTTGTATCGCGCAAACTCCAGCTCAACAGTAAGTTTTATGCGCTTTACAATCTATAAAATTGCTCCCAGCAGACCTGATAGCATTCTGAAAAAATCTCGAGTTCTTCGGAGGCGTACAGTGCAAGCTTCAATTTTATTGACGCTA